AATCTTCCTAGTTGAGATCAAAATTATTTTAAAGTGAACTAGGAAGATTTTAAACTGAACTAGTTCAGATCAAAATATTTTAATCTGAACTGAATTTCAATCTGTCCTACGACATATATATCAAAGTCATGATTTTTCCGTTTTTCAGTCTTTTAAAAATTTTAGAAGAAAACTCGCGCTGCGATTATTTTATTATATACAAAATTCTTCTAAAAAGGATGATCAGGCACACAGTCAACAGTTTTAGAGAGGATCTGGAATCAAATCTAATGTTATTCATTTTTAGCAAACTTTTTCATGATGGTGAATGCATTGTAACTCATTCTTGTTGATCTTTATGCGTATATTAATATGATTTTTACAAGAAGAAAATACACGATAAGTAAGACAATTAATGGAGTCTATTTGTAAACCTTATTTTAAGTTTGGATTTGGCAAATTCATCAATAACACTTTCCATATTTAATGCTTGAACGATCTATTTTTATTAACATTGGTAACAGCTAAATCACTCATTCGTTCATCGTTTGTTCGAGTGTACAGTCTCGTTTTGATTAATTTCAAGATAAAACAAAATGAACTCTCAGAAACAGTTACTGATACTTGAATAAGTACTTATTAAAGTTGAAGTAGAATAAAAAAATATCTGAGTGAACAAATTTAACTTGTTGCATAATTTTTCATAGTTCACGAAGTGTACGTGATTGTTCATTTTCTTGCGTTTGCAAAACTAACTAGATGATTCTCGAGATTCTCTCGAATAACTAATGCGGTGGAAAGCACGAATCCTGAGTATTCGAAAAAAAAACGATATCTCGGAGAAGACGGATAATTCATTCTACGATGCATCGTTCATGACTTTTTTCTAAGAGATAATGTCGTATCAATCGAATTGTGTCATGCATTATCTATAATGCGCAGTCTTCGCAGCTGTTTTTACATAGAAAAAGTATAATATCGTTCAAAAGATTTCTACTGTTGTAATTCTTAATATTCCTTGAATATGAGATATGAATTGTGAACAGTCTATAAAAGTCAGACAAATTTTAACTTGTATATTAATAAGAAATAATAGAATTTAACATTTTACTTTTGTATTGTATTGAATATTAATAACTCAAGCTTTGAAGAAATTTTCGTTTCTAATAACTCAGATCGCAAAGATAGAATCTTATTATTATTTTCTAGTACGTAAATACTAGGATTTTCTGAAGCTTGAAATATTTTATGTAAGAATGATCAATTTGAAATTCGTTTAGAATTCAACAAGACAACGTTCTGATAAATACGCAGAGAATTTAAATGAAGTTATAAATAATCAGGATAGTTTTTTCTCAGGTGCTTGCCTGTATGAGATTAAAAAAGAAACAGGTGAATACGAAAAGAAAAAAAAACTATTGATTGTTCACTATCAAACAGAAAAAAAAACTTAAATGAATCATTACAATTCTTACATTAGTTTGTTTCTTTGGCAAGTAAATATTGCTCGTCTTTCGTAACGAACACAATTGTACAAAATGTATCAGAGACAAAAAATAAAACCTGAAAAAATATAAAATGGCTGAGCCTTCAGCTAACTTGAATCGACAACAACACGATAATGATTTATCATCATCAATAACCATAAAATATGACGGATTAAATATTCATGCTGTAGAATTTGTACCTTCAAGGTTTTCAAATTGTACGATTGTTCCTACAACATCAACAAATATGTGTGCTAGAAATACTCCCGATGATGAAAAGAAACAACAGGGAACAAAGAATAAAGCCACAGATTTAAATGATCAACAAGTGACAATCGAACGATCTATCATAACTACAGTAGGTAGTGATCTTCTTTTTTGTGGAAAAATAAAGAAGTAATTTAAACTTTTACTTGAATGCGTAGAAATATCTGATAATATAAAAACAAATAAAGCAGGCGCAGTCTTTCAATTCGCAAGCCAAAAAGAAATAAGAGATGCTATCGTTAAACGTGACATAGTACGAAAACTCGAACCAATCGATATTCTTTTTTGTGATCATATTGATACTGGAAAATCAACCATTTGTGGACAAGTTATGTAAATTTTTTATGAAAAAAAAATTATCTTCGTTGTAAAATTGTTCTTTTTAAGGTATTTAACGGGACAAGTTGATCAACGAACATTAGAAAAATATCAAAATGAAGCGCAACAATTTTGGTATCTATCATGGCTATTAGATAAAAATGAAGAAGTCAGAAAACAACGAATTGTTGACTGTCATCAAGTTTGGTTTGAAATTGAAAGAAAGCATTGTACTATTCTTCCACAAATAAATTATCGATATTGGAGTTCAGGTGCGAATCGTACACTGCCACAAGCTGATATTGGCATTCTTGTAATTTATTTACTTTGTTTTTTTGTAACTAGTTGTTTTGTGAAACACGTCCTGAAAGGAGTGTTGAAGTGTTTAGGGTAGAAATTTGCACCTAGCCCCCGGCGCCCCCCCCGCGCGGCGCCGGACCAGCCCCCCGCCACTCCCCCCCGGGCGGCACGGTGCGTCCG